TTACAAGCCTCAGCCAAACTGAGCATGACAAGCCTCAGCCAGACTGAGCATGAAAAGCCTCAGCTAGACTGAGCATGACAAGCCTTAGCCAGATTGAGCGTGAAGAGCTCAATCAGACTAAGTTACTTGAAGAGGCAGCCCGACCGATTTCATCATGGCTCAACCCGAACTAAGCACGAATGAAGAGATCGACCAAGGCCACTATTGCAACTTTATGATCGCGGCATAGTTGCCATACTTAGTCAAATTCCGGTCCAACGTTTTCCAAGTCAGACTGTCTCCTTGCTGGGTCATGATTCACAACTTCACTCTGCATTGAGGTTTTCTTATACTTTAAACTTCACTCTACATTGAGGTTTTCTTACATTTTAAACTTCACTCTGCATTGAGGTTTTCTTACATTTTAAACTTCATTCTACATTAAGGTTTTCTTACATTTTAAACTTCGTAGTGACTTATACACAAGCCCTATGTAGACCACCACTTTCATTCTTTGCAGATCCTCAAATAATAAAGACAATGGCATAAAAACACACATAGGCTAAAAAATCACAAAATGATAAAAAAAAAAAATCACAAAAGAACAAAAAAAAAAAAAAAAAAAAAAAAAAAAAAACACAACCAAACACAACACAACAAAAAAAAAAAAAACAACAACAACAACAACCAACACTCTAAGTACAAATTTTGTTCACACTAACTATTCCTTTTCACTCGAGGCGAGGTCTTCTTCTTCAACATCCTCGCCTAAGGGGGTCGGGGCCACGTTGTCTTCATCAATCTTCACACTGCTGAAGTCCAAGCCTGGGAACAGCTATTCTGCTTTACGCTTAAACATCTTCCAGCCGCTGTCCCAGAACTCAGCCATCTCGTGTTTGTAGAAGCCCGACCGCTGGAAACTCTGGATTACTTCTTCTTCACTCCCGCTCCCAGCGGTCGCTCCCGACGGGCCAGCCCCCTAGGCGCCTCCCTTGTCAAGTTACTGGAGATCGTAGCATCGATCGCCATCTGGAAGTCAGCAGACCCCTTGAACTGCTCTACTGCTGCGATGCACAAGTCGGGGTATGCTACCCTCTCATAGGCTGACTTGGTCTTCTCTTCCTCCAACTCCTTCTCTAACCTCACCTTCTCCTCCATCGACTTGGCCCGCTCGTCTGCCAACGTCCTCTCCAGCCCAGCAATCTCCAGATCCAACTATTCTTTCTCTTTGATTGACTGAGCGCGAAGATCTTCATTGCTGGACATGGCCTCCTCCCACTGTTCGTTGGTGACTGTGCAGGCTGCCAGGGCCTCTTCTAGCTTCTTCTGCTCGTTCCCCAATTGGAGCTCAAGCAACACCACCTTGCGGCATTCCGCATCCAGCTCCAACTTTGTCGCGAGCAGTTTAGCATTAGTTCAATCGGCTGACTACCCCTGCACCATCGCCAACACTTGCATCTTCTTGGCCTTCTGGGTCTCTTCCAACCCCCTAGCGCACACACTTTGCGCGGTCTTCCTCCATCCAGCAGTTTCTCTCCTCAAACTTTCAAGTTGGGCCTTCGCCTCCTCCAACTTTACTTTCAGTGCCCCCACTTCGCCTTTGGCAACCGCCGCCTTTCTCAATAGGGCTCCTGCTAAGGCAGTGGCCTCCATTTGGGCAAAACACAAACCCCTTAGCAGCTCAGCCTCAGTAAAACAGGCCACCGAGCTTACAGCCACTTCTTCCACTACCCCCAAAAGGCGATCTACAGCTCTCCTAGCTGGGCCTCCTTCTCCCTCCAATCGCCTAGACGCTGCTGGCGCATGGTAGATGGCAGTCTTCAGCCTAACCCCCTTTCCTTGGGGCGCAGGAAGCCCCTTGGGCTGCTGCTCCACTCCCTCCTCAAGGCCAGCTGACCCACTCTCTACTTGCATCTTAGGGCCCATGGCACTCATGGGCTCTTCTCCTCCTTGGCCCCCTTGGCCAGTCACCCCACTCTCCATCCCCCTTGTTTACCCCAACCCCACTTCGGGGGTCTCCTTCCCCGTCACTTCCTTCCTCCTCTTCAGGGCTGGCCCCTCCTCTCTCTCCCTTACCCTCCTCTTCTTCTTCGCCACAGCCTCCACCTCCTTGTTGGCCCTTTCCTTCAAAGGATCAATTGGGAGCGATTGTGGCTCAAATTCACCCAAGTCCTTTTTCTCCAGCGGTTTGGGGCGTGGTCAGATCCTCTCCCTCGCGATCGGCTTCGGCGGCCGGTCTACCTGTGACTCTTTGAATTTACTGGCCTTGGTGAGAATGGTCCTATCCTCCGCCTCTTGCGCCTTCCTTCTCGCCTCTAATGTCACCGGTTCCAAGTCTCCACCGGTCGGCTAAGGGCCCAACCTTGCGGCAAACAAGGCTGACGGCTGAATGAGCTCGTCCCATTTGGCGCCCTCTTTCTCGCTCCATGTCTTCACATTCTTCACCCTTTCCTCAGCTGTTGCCCCCAACTTTGGCTTAACAGACTTGGTGGGCACTCTCCACACCGTGCACACTCCAACTCCTCCGTTTGCGAACATGTAGAACCACCGCGGCCTCCACCCCTTTATTGATGACGGCAATCCTGCCACCAGGCCCCTCCATGCCGCCGCTTGTAAAGTGACCCAAGTTTCTTGCTGCCCCGAGACCTTGTAGCATGCAAAAAACTCGTCCACTGTCATAGCCGCCCCCTCGTTCGCTCTTGGCCACGCGCTTGCACAGGCCAGTACAATCTTTCACGCGTTAGGCATTAGTTGACCCAGCGCCACTTCTAACCGATTTAGGACATCCACTAGCACCTACGGAAGCGGCAACCTCAACCCTCCCTTCAACGCCTCCTCGTAGAGGGCAAACTTCCCCGGTCGGGCGTCGGATGGCCTCTCCTTCGCTATCGGCAGCTTTAACTCTATTTCTGCGAGAATCTGGTATTTCTCGCGTATACCCACCAACTCCTCCACGGTAATGGTCGACTTATCGGCCTTCGTATGCTAGTGATCTGGCTCAACCTGGCTGATTGGCTACGCAGCCGCTATCATTGTGGACGAACGAGGTCGCCCCACTGGCTCCTCCTCGCTTCCCACTCGCCTCTCCGTCCGGTATTGTTCTGCCAAATCCACCGCATCGTCATCGCCCAATGGATCGACCCTTGCGTTTGTTGCTTCCTCTTGGGCCATCTCTCTCGTATGTCTGCGAATAGCTTCAGATGCTGGTGCGAGATAGTTCACGAAGTGTTGCAGGGGTGTATCACTAGCGACGAAGGTGTTTACACTTGGAATATTTTGGTTCTTTGCAAAAAGATACATGAAATAGATAATACCAAAAGCCCAAGGTTTGCCTATATTCCAAGGGTCACAATTAAATTTTGCCATTTGAAATTTTTCAAAAAATCCGCCAAAACTATCTTTTCGACACCCTATAATGACCTATCGTTTCACTTCTTGCCCAATGCCTAACCTTCCCCACTACAGGATCCTGCCACGTGTACGACCACGATTCACTGCCCCCCACCTACCCTGTCTTTTCCACTTCAAATCACCACGTGCCCCGCCGTTCCTCGAGCCCCGCACACCACCACCCTCCTTTCGCGGTCGGCCCTTCCTCATGGTCGGTCCCTCCGCTCGGTCACCCTTTGCGGTCGGCCCTCCTCACGATCGGTCACTCCTCTCGGTCGGCCTTCACCCTGCCGGTCTCTCACAACCCTCGTTTTCTTCATTATTCCCTTCGTTGGGCTAAAACTGCATTTGGGAATAGGGGACTACTGACATGGGTAAGCCCATAAAGATTATAGCCCACCAATTAGGGCCCAATACATAACTCAAATACTAAAACCCAACATTGCTGAAGCCTCACGTAGCAATAAGAACCAATGACAGCAAGAGAATGGCAAGCCACATCAGCAGACAAAGATCTGCAAGGTACATCGCCATTAATGAAGCCCCTTACAACATTTATTGCGATAACCCCTCTCCGTCGAGACAGAACGCCTTCACCATGAACAAGGTAAGCTAGAGCATAGACTTTCGGCCAAGGTGACAGGTCGGAAGGGACAACGAAATGATTACCGGAGGATATAAGCAGACGTCGAAGACAAGAAAAAGGTTAAGCTTTTCTATCTCTAATTCATCTCTACATTCCGCTTCTCTCTCTAACTTGCTCGTCGGAGGGTTTGCTGGGGAACTCCCCGTTTCCCGTTGAACTCGTATGTAGGTCTTCTAGTGAGCTTGATCACTTGGACACTAGTTTGGGAAGCGTGGATTAGCCCAACCCGTTCCATCTAGGACCCGCTGTATCATCAATATCAAATACATTATCAAATATATATTTTAAACATATAATATTTTGTGTCAAAGAATGAAAAATATGTATATTAAGAAATCACAATTTATCTAATAATATTTTAGACATCACATAATTAACAATAATTTTTTTCTATTAAATATTTTAATGATATCTTAACAATTTAGAGATAAATAAGTTTTTTACATATGAATAAATAAGTCAGACAAATTGCTGGAAAAAAAATTAATCCATTTGTTTTAATTTAAAAAAAGAAAAGAAAAAGAAATTTAAATAATAAATATATTAATTCAAATTGATAATTTTTTTATTGTTTATATAATGTGAAATATGTTTTATAAGTATTATATTAATTCTTTTCATAGGGTGTTATACTAAAATATGAATAAGTTTTTAATAATATATATGTAAAATCTTAATGAATGTAAGTGAAAAATTTTATTTAAATAATTTATTGATTGATTTGATAGTTTTATATTGTCGTTTTGAATAATCAAATAATATTGTTTGTACTAAATTAATGGATTTGGAAAATTTTTATATTATCTTTTTAAGAAAATTTTTTATAATTATTGAAATGACAAGTAAGATTTTTATATTTATTAAAAAAAAACTTAATTCACCTTTAAGAAATTATTAAATATTAATAATTTTTTAATGGATGTGTACTTATGTTTTTAGAAGGTTTTTACTCAACTGTAATTTCTCCATATTTATTCGCTAGGAGCTATTGACATATCCAATCCAATCCACTCATTTTTCACTCGGCTTTGGGACTCTGTGCAAAAGCAAGTAGCCTGAAGCGATGTTGGAAACAAACCAGTCAGGTTCGGAATACTGGGCTGCGCTAACATAGCTCGCAAGGTATCAAAGGGCCATAAGGCTCTCACCAAACGCCACCCTCCAGGCCATCGGCAGCCGTTCGATCGACAAGGCCTCGAAGTTCGTGTCCGAGAATGGCTTCCCTGACTCGGCTAACATCTACGGCTCCTACGAAGCCGTGCTTGACGCGCCATCTACGTGCCTCTCCCCACTAGCCTCCACTTGAAGTGGGCCGTGTTAGCCGCCGAGAAGAAGAAGCATCTTCTGCTGGAGAAGCCGGTGGCTCTCAACGTGTCCGAGCTCGATAAGATTCTGGAGGCGTGCGAATCGAATGGGGTGCAGTACATGGATGCTACCATGTGGATGCACCATCCGAGGACTGCTAAGATGAAGGAATTCCTCGCGGAGCCGGAGCGTTTTGGCAAACTCAAATCGGTATTTCTCAAATTTTTCACTTCCTCACACTCACATATGTTTATGCTAGGGACAAATTGTCAATATACGAAGATTAGGATGAGAGAGATAGTGAAGTAGGGAATAGTTCTTTATTTGTTAGATTTTTTTTTTTTTTTTTTTATGAAATAGCTTTATTAGTCCAACTGTGTATACTTTACATTAGCCATCAGTTGGTCTTGGCAAATCAGTATTGAAATCGTGGTTCACAACCACGATTTCAGCAGAAAAAGTTTTTGGTCTAAAAGCGTGATTCGAAACAGCGAGTTCAGAAGAAATTTTTTTTTTCATAAAATCGTGGTTAGGAACAGCGAGTTCAGAAGAAATTTTAAGCAAAGCAAAAAAAAAAAAAAGACTATAACAAAAACTAATTTAGAAGATCATTTAGAGAGCCGATGCAGGTGTATAAGAAACCACTTATCCTTTAAAATATGTAAGGAGGAGCTTTACGGCATCCGTTGGGATGCTCTTACAACAATAAATGTTAGGTAAAGTTGAATATTTAAAAAGAAAAAAAAAATATGAGGTTTGATATTTTTGGTAATTAAAATTATTTGACAAAATTTTAAAATTGTTCATAGTAGTTTATGATTTGTTGAGGAGGTAGGGAGTGTTGGGATGGGAAGGGTTGGAGAGCTGTAAGCGGTGGCGGCTAAAGATGGTGGTCGGTGATGGTGTTTACTTAGGGTTAAGGGTTTTGGAAGATTAGGAATAAGGGTAAAATTGAAATTTATGATATGATAAAAGTAGTATTAAAAAATATGGCAGGATGCAAAAATGAATGAGGGTGCAATTAGCAACACTCGCCTTTTATTAATTTTCGAAGCTATTTTTATGACAATAATTAAGAATTGAAGAAAATGAAAATCAATGATTGAAAGATTTTTTTGCCCAGCACAATACTATACAAAAAGAGAAACTCATATATGATTGGGACCTAGAACTGACAGTATTGGTGGCCATCAATTTGCAGAACACTAGGTCACATTGAAGTAATTTGATTGTTTTTTGTTGGTCCATTTGTCATACTCTCTTTCTATGTGGTCTTATAGTTGATAAATGTTCTGTTTGGCCTCAAAATAGCAAATTTGAAACAAGGAAATTTCACGGTTGCAGGAATTTCACAAATTGAATGGTTGTTGTCCCTAATTATACGACTTTTAGTCCTCAATATGTTTTTTTCTAGGTTTCAATTAGAAATTATGTCCTCAATTATTGCAACTGGCCCTCAATTTATTATTATTATTATTATTTGGTCTTAAATAGAGAAATTCATTGTTAGTGAAATTTCATTGTCAATAATGAAATTTCAAACCGGTAGTGAACATATTAAAATTTGGGCAGTTTTTCATCAAAATTTTGTCCTGAATCTTGTTTGATGGTTCTCGATAAAAGGATTCCAACAATACAAATTAAAAATAAAAAAAGAAATCAAAGATATAGATCAAACGTTAACTTATTATTGATTTTTTAAGTTTTGAAATGATTCATGATATGCTTGCCGAAGTTATACTATCAGGGGAAGCTTCATTGTCGGGGAAGGGTATAATTTGATAGGATTTTGGTCTCCAAAATATTAAATAAATCAGTCAAAAAACGAAATGAAAATCACACTGAAATATAAGCGCATCTAACAGAATTTAAAATATTTTGGAACTGCTCTTCATAGCATATTTCTAATGGACAAGAGCTACTAGGGACTTGTAATGAAGAATTTATCGCTAATTTTTGCTTTCATTATAGGGCTGCTTATTTTTTTAAATATGATATATTCTAATCATATTTTATAAAGTCGGGCTGTTTCGTGCTGAGTATTTAGCTTGAGATTGAAATCACAGCTCTCTTGTTGGAGCTTTTTTCGCCTTTAGTTGTACCAACACAATCAAATACTCTTATCTAATTCCGCTTGTGATGATCCTCACAGGTTCACAGCATCTTCTCCTACGATGGTGGCCCGGATTTTCTCAAGACCGACATTCGTGTGAAGCCGGATCTTCATGCTCTTGGCTGTCTAGGTGATACTGGATGGTGCTGCACCCGAGCAATCCTTTGGGCAGCCGACTATGAACTCCCTAAAACCGTCACAGCTTTACACAAGCCTGAATTCAATGAAGCAGGGGTCATCATGACCTGTGGTGCTTCCCTAAGTTGGGGTGATGGGAAAGGAAAATGTCTGGTAGCTCGAAGTTACCAGGCTCGAAAATGGCTCGAGAGGAAGAGAGGGAGAGGGAGAGGGAGAGGGAGAGAAAGAGAGGGAGAGGAGAAAGAGAAGGGAGGGAGAGGAAGAAGGTCGGCGTCGCAGCTCCCGGCCCCGCCGTCGTCGTAGCTCCCGCCGCCGCCTCTGCTTCCTCCTCCGTCGCAGCCCTGCCGATGTCGCAGCACCACCGTCGTTTGCCCAGCCTCCCCTCCTCCTCAAACCGGTTTTTATGGCCCCCTCCCCTCTCTCCTCCTCCCTTCTCTTCTTCTCCCTTCTTCTTCTTCTTCTTCTTCTTCGTTCTGCAAAACCAGGGGAAAAAAAAAAAAAAAAATCGACACCAAAACGATGTCGTTTTGGTGTCGAGCCGCGTTTCGAGCCGCGACATTAGAGCTACGTAGCATGATCGGATGGGAAAATAGCAACTTTCTCCTGCTCTTTCCTCACCAATCTGACCATGGACATAACTTGTGGCGGAACAAAGGGAAATCTGCGAATTCACGACTTTGTCATACCGTTTCAAGAGAATGTTGGGCAATTTTATGCAGCTTCCAAGTCCAAATTTGCAGATCTTGCATTGGGGTGTGAACCAATACCAAGCGAGCACGCTGTCATGACTGATCTTCCTCAGGAAGCTCTCATGGTGAGTGAATTTGCTCGGTTGGCTGCGAACATTGAGAGGAATGGTTCGAAACCAGAGAAGAAGTGGCCAACAATTAGTAGGAAGACACAGCTTGTTCTGGATGCTGTCAAGGCGTCGATTGAGAAGGGTTTCGAGCCCGTTGAGGTTGGGAATTAATTTTAAGAGGTTTCATTTCTGTCCCATGTTTGGTATCTCTGTGCTGTTAGATTTCTATGAATGTGTTGTGTGTATGTTTGGATGAACATGAATTGGGACCTTATGTTATGTCTGTTTTAATAAATAATCAGCCTGGTTTAAGGTATGATAATTTGATCTGTTGTGATTTTTGAATGATTTGCCTAGAAGAAAAAAACTATGAAATATAGTTTAAAATAAAGGGATAAAAGTAAGTTGTGCGTCATTATGTTAAAAATAGTAAACTAGTTGATTAATTAACCAAGAATTCAATGACTGACTAAACAAATAAATGGTATCATATGTAACTGATACAGAATTAGAACAGAGTGAAGAGAAATTAATTGGGTCCAGCTTGTCTCCAATTGGAGATCAGGACTGGACCTCCAGTCCGGCTTGTGGGCCCATTTTGGATCTCTTTTCGATAATTCGAATCGTGCAATATGTAGAACTTGTCGAGTGCTATATTCTTGTAAAATATCATGTTGATCGAATATCGATAGCTATTTGATCAGATTAGATATCTGTTAATCATTTATTTTTATACCGTTAATTTTTTGTTGCACAAAATGGCTCTGATCAAATAGCTATTAATATCCGATCAACATGATTTTTTACAAGATATAGTGCTTGACGAATTCTATATATTGACGGTTCAGATTATCGAAACGGGATCCAAAAATGAGTACACGGGCGGACTGGACGGTCCAGTCATGATATCCAACTGGAGACAAGCTGGACCGAAATTAATTTTCCTTCACCTGACATTTTAATGCTATTAAGTAGAATAGAAACGCCAATGCACAACCACAACAAATATAGAAACTACAATGTCCAATCAAATTTTATACTTCCACTATTTATATAGATTACATTACACATTTGACAGTGTCACTAACATTTGCCCAAAAATGGCTGATACACCTGTGCGTTTTGGAATCTTGGGCTGCGCCAATATAGCGCGTAAGATGTGCCGAGCCATCACTCTGTCACCAAACTCCGTCCTTTATGCCATAGCTAGTCGTTCACTTGAAAAGGCATCAAGTTTTGTACTAGAAAATGGCTTCTCTCCAGTTGAGGTAAAAGTCTATGATAGCTATGAGGGTGTTCTTGAGGACCCCGATGTTGATGCTGTGTATGTGCCACTCCCCACGAGCCTGCACGTGCGGTGGGCTGTTTTGGCTGCAGAGAAGGGGAAACACGTGCTGTTGGAGAAGCCGGCAGCACCAAACTTGGCAGAGCTGGACAGGATTCTGGAGGCGTGTGAATGCAGTGGCGTCCAGTTCATGGATGCCACCATGTGGATGCATCACCCTCGCACGTCTGAGATGAGAGCACTCCTATCCGATGCCCAGCGTTTTGGCCAACTCAAATCGGTATGTACACTTTGGCTTTGCTAGATTAATCAGTGCTTTGATGTAGTAATAACTTGTGTCTAGAAATCATGTCTATAAATTTTTGCTTCCAATGCATTTTCAACTGCACGATGAGATTTTTGAAATATAAGAATTTTGAAACATAAGCGTACAATTAGAAGTGTAATAAGGACATGGGATGGGACATGAGTTTTGTCACTGTATGTAGCTTTTCTAGGCTACAAATGTTTTAGCCTACTGATCATTGAATTTATGCTTGTGATTTCCTAGATTCACAGCTGCTTCACATACGAAGCCGACCACAATTTTCTTCAAAACAACATTCGAGTGAAGCCAGACTTGGACTCTCTTGGTGCTCTAGGCGACATCGGATGGTACTGCATCCAGGCAATCCTCTGGGCAGCCAACTATGAACTGCCTGAAACAGTGACGGCGTGGCGCGATCCCGAGTTCAACGAAGCTGGAGTAATCCTATCCTGTGGCGCCTGTTTACACTGGAAGGATGGGAAAGTAGCAACCTTCTATTGCTCTTTTCTAACCAATTTGACAATGGACCTATCTGCTCTTGGAACTAAGGGAAATTTACACATTCATGACTTTGCTATTCCTTTCCAAGAGAATGTTGCATCGTACCATGCTGGTTCACAGTTTAGGATACCGATGATGAGCGAGCACGCTGTGGCGAATGATCTGCCTCAGGAGGCTTTGATGGTGTCGGAATTTGCTGGTTTGGTTAAGAGAAGGAACGGTGATGGGTTGGAGCCACCGGAGATGTGGTGGCCGGGGATTAGTAGGAAGACGCAGCAGGTGTTGGACACGGTGAAAGCATCGATTGAGAGAGGTTTTCAGCCTGTTGAGATTTTGAGTTGAGTTTAGATTTTCGAAATTGGGAGGGCATAATGCAGTTGGAATTTGAAAAACAAAAATGTTTGATCCATCAAATTTACCTCCGCCCAAATTGCTGATTGGATAAAAATCGGACAATTTGAACGGAGCAAAATTTGGTGGATATTTTAAAAGTTTTGTCAAGAATATTTTTTTGGATATTGGTAAAATGAAGAATGATTGAGAAATAAAAATTAAGTGTCACTATGAAACTACTATGATTTTGACACTATTACACCTTGGTCTAATTTGATTCCAAAATTATTTAATCATATTAAAGTATATAATTCTGATGAAGTAGAAAAAGACTAAAATTGTCATATATACATATTCAGAATTTCATATGTAATGTTGAATTGAGTAATACTATATACACAAGTCAACCAATTTTATAATTATTTATTTATTAATGTGACACCTAATATAAAATTAACTTTTATAAAAAAAAATTATTTATATATTTTAATGTAAATTAAATTTTCTCTTCTATTCATGAAATTAAAATTTAAAATTATTCACAACTTTATTATTAGGACTATTGGACAAAGAGAGTTTTATTTTTTATTTTAACCGTAGCGGTGTGTTTGTATGTTAAATTTGTGGAGGAGGGAACCAAAAAATAGAAAAAGAAATGTGACAAAAAAATAAGAAAAAATATCCAAAAAATAAAATAAAATTGAGGAGTGGAAAAAAATAATTTAAAATTTATGAAAGTACCACATACATTAGATATGTACAACCTCGAATTTGAATTTTTCTCCCCACTTCCCCCTTTTTTTTTTTTTTGATATTCCCACCAAAATAAAAATCTACTTCATTTATGTATTATTTGATTTTCTTTTTTATTAAAACATATCTTCATACGTTGGGTAAATTTTCTCTGAGATTTTTGACAATTATAGAGAGCTCTTCTATAATTTTCAAAACTACACGAACCTCCCTTAATTTTGTTAACAATATCAAGATTACCCCAATTTGTTAACTTCGTACAAAAGGCATGACTTAGGCGTGAAAATGACCATATTACCTTGTAATATGCACGTGAAAAGATGAAAGTACCCGTAAACCAAGAATCATTATCAACATGAGTAAATTATACTTACCTCCCCTAAGATTTTGCATATATATTATTAAAGACATATACATATTTTAGTATTATTTAATAAAATTATTAAATTTCATGCAATATTAAAAAAGACTCTTAAATTGTTAAGACATTATTAAAACATTTAATGAAAAAAAAAACTTAATTTTATTGATAAATTACTTTAAAATAATGTTAGATAATGCATTTATTATTTGAATTTTTTTTAAAGTTAAAATAATTGAATTTATTTTTTCTCAGCAATTTGTATTACTTATTTATTCACATATAAAAAAATATTATTTTATATTTTATCCATCATATATTATTCTCAAATTTTAATTTTTATCATTAAGTCATTAAACTACTAATTGATGCATATTTAAAAAAAAAAAAGTAAGTTAATGTTTCTTACATAATCAAAAAAAATTTAAAAATAAATATAAAAGTAAAATTTTTTTTACCTCCCTCTGACAATTAAATCAAACTCTATCAACATTAATCTTAATCTTAAATGCACTAAATTTAATTTAGCCTATTAAATATATACGAAACTATTATTTATTTTTCATAATTTTTTCAAAATATAAATGTAATTTCTTGACTCTTGTTTTTCACAAGAAGTTTTTGAACTTTTATAAACAACAAATAAAATAAAATTTCAAAATTAATAAAGATGATAAATTAATTTAATAAAAATAGTTTAAGTGAGATAAATAAAGATGAAGAAATAGATTTTTAAGTATCATATATAACAAATTAATTGAGTATTTTATTATTTTCAAATAATTTCTCCATTCAAGTAAAGATTAATTTTAATTTTAGGTGTAAGAAATGACAAATTATTTGAATTGTTTATCATTCTCAAATGATTTTCTTGATCTTTCATTCCCTATTAACTAATTTTAATTTATTGTGAGGCGATTAGATTTTTTTTATTTCTATATTTGTTTTTTAATTTCATTTAATCATCTAAGAAATATTAACATGCGTTTTTTTAAATATACATCGATTAAAAGTTTAAAGACTCAAAAATAAAAATAAAAATTTGAGAATAATATATGATTGAGAAAAGATAAAATAATAATTTTTTTTACATATGAATAAATAAGTAATGCAATTTGTTTGAAAAAAATACATTTATTTTAATTTAAAAAAAATTCAAATAATAAATGAATTACTTAAAATAATAAATTTTACGTTGTTTATGTAGTGTGAAATAAGTCGTATATTAAATTATTAGGATGTTATCTAACATTAATTTTAGAGAGAATATTTACTTTTAAGTATTTTATCGATGAAATAAATTTTTTTTTTCATTAAATGATTTAATGTCTTAACAATTTAAAGATTTTATTTAATATTGCATGAAATTTAAAAATTGTATTAAATAATAATAAAATATGTATGATCAGTCTTTGATAATATGTATGCAAAGATGTGAGTGAAATTTCTCTCTCCTACGCCACGTGGTCTGACTGTTACTGATTCGCCTCCAAATTTGGATAGTGTTGAAGGATATAGAGCTTCCTTGCCCTCAAATCCTCTCTCTTACAATACTGGCTCCTTCTCTTTGGACCGATCAAGCACAGGTGGGCCTGCCAAGGAGAGACCCGCTCCTATTTTGGGGCCCACCAATATTTCTACTAGGCCAGCTTATTATGTGACGAAACCACCAAACAGCCCACGTACCTCAACCCATTTTAACATTTCTAACGATTTGGGCCTCCCAGCTTCCCACCCCACCCTCCAAACCCAGGCCCCTCTCTCACAATCCCTGCCCCCTTCTTATGTTCTAGACTTATGCTTATCAAAAACAATTAAGACCCTCTCCCTCAAGAGGAAAGACTCTGAAGACCTCCAACCCCCATCTCGACCTTCTAAGTTGTTACGCTATGATGCACCCTCTCTCTTGGCCTCTCACATTTCTGATCACCCCTTACCTTTCCTGGTGGATGAAAAATGCCAATACTCTCAAGGACTGCTGGCTACCAGTAAACAAACTAAAGCCCCATTGAGGCGTCGAGGCACCCGTAATTATAGGCGGAACACTCTGGTTGAAGTGGAGATTCAAGAAGATGGAAATGCCAAAGATAGTGCAGCTCTCATTATAGTGCCAGTAAGTCAGTGTGCTTCAGGAACTAGCCTCTCTGATTCTTCCCCTTGTTGTCCTGCTCTGATTGTGCTCCCGTGTGTTGAGGCGGTGGTGGCTGGCCCAAAACAGCCACAAGGTCCATGTTAATCCTGAGCTGGAATTGTCAGGGAATGGAGTGACCTCTGACATTCCGGATCCTCCAAGGGTTGTGCCAAACCCATCGCCCTCAAATAATTTTCCTCATGGAGACGAAAAATAATCAATCAAAGATGGAAATTCTCAAACGCCGTCTTCGATATCCAAATAAAAGTTATGTTGATCTAGTGTGTCTTTTAGGCGGATTACCTCTTTGGTGGCTGGATGAGGTCCACCTTCAGGTTAGTTTTAAATCTGCAAATTTATTCAGATGTCATATTTCTGATGCTCAAGTTAATTCTTCTTGGTTAGCCACATTTGTTTATGCGCCCCCCAGATGGACGGAAAGGAAAATGTTTTGGCAGGTTTTACAGTCCATTGCTCAAGCCAACTAGGATCCTTGGCTTTGTATCGGCGCTTTAATGAAGTGGGGGTGTCTTGGGAGAAACAAGGTAGAAAAGCTTGCAACAACGTGAGGATGGAACAATATCATCGACTCTTGTCGGATTGTCAACTTATGGATCTTGAATACAAATGCACTCCTTATACCTAGACTAACAACCAAAGAGGCATCTGTAATGTGAGGGAACGTTTAGACAAGGCTTTAGCAACTGTTAATTGGAGACTTCTATTTCCCTTTGCTCAAGTTCACCATGAGGTATTTCTGGGTTCAGACCACTGTCCCCTTCTTCTTTACTGCAAAATCCCTCCAAAGAGAGTGCCTCACCAATTCAAGTTCGAATCTATGTGGACCACACACCCTGAATGTGAAGAACTTATTAAGGAAATGTGGGCCCAATTCCAACCGGGTCCTCCAATCTCTAAAGGCTGTCTTGGGCTCCAGAACTATAAAAGAGGCCTTACCACCTGGAGTAAACAAACCTTTGGCAACAATAGAGTTCGTTTGGCTGCGATGAAAATTAAACTTCATCAGCTTCAGTCCCTCGCCTACTCAGATTATAATGGCACTCAAATTCGACATGTCCAAGATGAAATTGAGATGGTTTTACTCAGGGAAGAAATATTCCAACACCAGAGATCTCGTATCAACTGGCTCAGTTATGGGGATCGTAACTCTGCTTTCTTTTATGCCTCGGTTGTTCAGCTTAGGCAGCAAAACCAGTTGATCAAGATAAAAATGGATAATGGGGCCTGGCTAGAGACTGACACCGCTATCAACGATCATCTTTCTTCCTATTTCACTCAGCTTTTTCAGGTAAAAGGCCCTAGAAATTTTGAGGATGCTCTGGCCGTGGTGAAACTGTTGGCCACTCAACCGATGAATGAGGCTCTGCTTAGACCAGTGGTTGATGATAAAGTCAAGCTTGCTTCCTTTCAATTAGGTCCTTTGAAAGCCCCGGGGCCTGATGGCTTTCCGGGCTTATTTTATCAAAAGCAATGGCATGTGGTCAAGCCTACAGTTTGCAAGGCGGTTCGTAGTTTTTTTCATACTGGTCATCTGCAGGAATGTGTAAACCACACTAATCTCATTCTAATCCCTAAAGTGTAGGCCCCGAAAAAATTGAGTCAATTTCAACCTATCAGCTTATGTAATTTTTTTATGAAAATTATAACAAAGGTGCTAGCTAACAGATTGAAACATTGTCTCAAGAACCTTACCTCTCCGCAGCAAATGGCCTTTGTACCTGGCCGTCTCATCCAAGATAGTATTCTAATTGCGCATGAGGCCTTTCACTTTCTAAAGCATAAGAATCAGGGGCGTGTAGGTTATATGGCTCTGAAATTAGACTTCAATAAAGCATATGATCGAATTCAATGGGATTTCTTACAAGCTACTCTTCTTCGTCTAGGCTTTCATCCAAAATGAGTGAGATTGGTAATGGAATGTGTGACTACTGTGAAGTTTTCAGTTTTTGCTAACGGTGAACGGCGTACCACATTTACTCCTTCGTGTGGGCTTCA